GGACGTTCACTAGGACAGACGTGGGTCTGAGGTCCTCTGGGGGAAGGACACCTGGGACCTGGTCCTCAATCCCCTCAGGCCACCTCCTTCTGCTTCTGATGGGGTTATCCTGGCACTGGTGTATGGAAGGTTTGGCATGGCACCTGGCATTGTTAGCAAGAGTTCTATATGTGTAACCGAGGACTGTTCTATTCAGGACTGACTCCTGGAAGGGAAGGGGATGTAAAAAGAATTAAGATGTGTTATGTACCTGCACCAGCTCCCCATGCTGAATGTAATCATCATGGCTGCAAACATATACTAACCAAAAACAAAAATGAAAGCATAAATAAATAAATGGGTAAATATTTTTTAAAAAGCACTGAGTGAATATGCTCATTTTAGGATCAGCTATTGTGATTGAAGATCTGTATGACTATGTCTCTAATTGGCAGCAGTGACCATCTTGTTTCAGTCCACAGCATGGTTTTAGTTACTCAGCCGAATAAACCTCAATTCACAGAAGGCTGGGCAGTGACTGTTTTGGTTTCTAACCTGCCATACTTATCTGAGGACCCCTGCCTGGGAAGCATTGGAGTCTCAGAGAGAAAATGAATTTATTAAATCAATTATGGCACTCAGATGAAAGGCCACATCACCGGCTATTACAGGACTGTTCTTCAAAAGCATCTCTTTGAACCCCTTGACTTCTGTCCCCATTAACAGCTGGCAGTGCATGGTGTCTGAAAAGTGCTTTCTGATACACGGCTGTGTTTTTTCAGGAGGAGTTAAAAATGACACTTCATGGAGTTTATGTACAAGGAGAAATGTAAAACTACAAGAAACCAAATGCTTTATTTGTGGATAAAACAACTGACACAACACCAACATATGCACTGACTTAATTTTTAGAAATTTACTTTGCCTAATTTTGGAACATTATGAAACACACTAGAGGCTTTTCTTTTCCTCTGCTAAAAGCCCTTAATCATTTATCTTTCTAAAGCGAGTCACTTTTTTGGAGAGAAGTCCTGTTCTAGAAAAGAAATTCCAAGCTGAAATTCCCAGCTGAAAAGTTAAACCCCACTGAGTTTGTTTCTCCCAACAAAAGCAAGTTTCCCCTTTTATTAATAGGTTGCTTGTCACAAGGTGGCAGGGCCTGTAGGTTCTTGGTCTCTTTGAGAATAAATGAAGATTGGATGGTAAGCAAGGATAATGATCCCTCAAATTAGAGAATGCAATAATGTTGAGGGAAGGACACAAAAATAAGCAAGATAGCATTGTGCTTTGGTTTAAAATGTGAATAATTCTGAAAAACGTGAATAACCTATACCCAGGCTATGTCTCTGGTCTTGCTTTTGACAGATGAGCTCTGAGTGGATGGTACTACCAGGTACCATGGTGACCCATGATTTTCAGTGTCCTCAATTTCTGCCACACCCCCTCCCTGGTCCTCGAAAGTATCTTCTATTCTGTCCATCAACTAATTCTCAGAAAAGTCTCAGGCCTCAGTGACTTACATTTCTTCACATGGCATTAAATCAATGATTGTCCTCTTTCCGAGTCCGTATACTTTCTCTTAAGCAATTATAGCCAAAGCGATCAAACTCTAAACACTAATCTAAAAATTTTACCTAAAATGTACTAATAAATTTAATGAATTAAAAAATTTACATATATTATTTCATTAAATCTTCACAATCATTCGATGAGGTAGATTTAAATGATTACCTTATTTTATCTATTGGTCCATTTCAGCTTAGGGGTGATAATTAACTTGCCTCAAGTCTCATGGCTAAAAGTGGTTAGATTCCAGAGCCTGAGCTCTGAACTAACCACATGGATTTAAAATCTATGTGCTCTAGATAACTTTGCAAAACAGCTAAAGATATCATATTACAGTGATCCATGCATACCTGTGTTAATAGCAGCACAACTCATAAGAGCTAAATCTTGAAAGTGGCCTCTATGTCCATCAACAGATGACCACATAAAGAAAATATGCACACAATGAGGTACTTCTCTGCCATAGAGAAGCATAAACTTGAGTCATTCATAGGAAAATGAGTGCACCTGGAGACCATAATGTTAAGTGAAATAAATCAGACATATAAGCTTCAATATCTCAGGGTTTCTCTTACATGAAAAACTCAAAGTATAAATAAATTAAAGAGAAAAATATAAGACAGATAATAGGAAACAGAGAGATAGACTTTTTTGCAAATGAGGAGACCAAGAAATGGAGAGAGGGAGCAGAAAGGGAGGGAGGGGAAGGAGACACAAAATGAATTAAACTGTGTTATGTGCATGCACCAACTCCCATGAGGAACACACTCATTATGTATTGTAAATATGGACTTATAAAAATAAAAGTTTCAATAAATCTACATGGTCAGTGCTGCGAGCATAGGGGCTTCTCCATGGGCTGAACCCAGCATCACTCCTAGCCATAAACCTGAGTTCTGCCCACACCCCTGCCTTCATGGCCGCTCTTTTTGTAGGAGCACTGACTCTAACAGAAAGTTAGGTGGCATTTCTGTCCCTATTTCCCATGACCCCCAACTTTGACCAAGATAAGATGAGCTGAAGTCTACAGAGAAAGAGAATGACAAGGACCTATATCAGTGTTCCGAATGCCCTCCTTCACTTCATCATCACAGATGTTCCCCTAGGGCCACAGCTTCCCTTTTGGCGAGTGGACCAAAGCCAAGGCTGGTTCCCCACAGCCTCCAGTGGGCTCCCAGGGTGATGAATGCACACTTTTTATGCACCCTACACACCAGAAAATATCTGGGAAATGTCTAAGAGGAGAGGCTGCTGTGTATGATAAATAAAAGAAAATGCTCTTCACTCAAAGTCAGAGTTCATGGAAACCTGAGACCCTTCAGGTAAGCAATATAAACCAGGGTTCAGAAAGTTCAACAAAATAAAACAAAAACTTGGAGAGGAAAATTTGGATTTTATGTGTTGTGCATGTGATTTTTTTTTTTTTTTTTGAGGTTGAATATAAACAAGCACATTCTCTGGGGCCACAACAAGGACGGTTGACCAGAAGCCAGGCCCAGAATCGGGCCCCTAGAAAACTTCATTCCTCCCTGGGTTGAGCAGGGAACAGAACCTGGTCTGCCCGGCTGAGACCCCTCACCCCACTGCACTACAGGCACCTGTTGGAAAACTTCTGGGAGTGGATTACACTGAGGATTTTGTTGTTTTGGGCAGTTTTGTGGATTGAACCCACAGAGCACTGAACTACATTCTCAACCCTTTTTAAAAAATGTATTTTTGTTTTGAGACACTAACTTGCCTCACTAAATTGCCCAGTTGGACTTGAACTCACAATCTTGATCCTCCTGCCTCAGCTTCCTGAGGAGCTGGGATTACAGCTAAGCAGAGCTGCACCTGACCACACACTGTGCTTTGAAATGGTGCTGGTAGCCTTACCAAAAAAACATTCCTCAGGAGTTCTGACAAAGCTGCAGCCACTCAGGGACCTCAACTGGCACACATTTAGGAGGGACTTCAGGGCCACACCCCTGCTGGGGTGGAGGTGGACTCAGGGCCCCAGGTTTCTGTTGATAAAATATATGCTGACTGTGTGGCATGGGGACCAGAGGATCAACGGTTTCATCCTTCCCTTGGGCACGCTGGCCACTTCCTGTGAGCAGGACACAAGATTAAGAAACCAGCTGGTGAGCTAACATGAAGCCCTTAGTGACCTTTTCCTTTCCCCTCTTATCCTCAAGTCCACTGCCTCTGTTTCAGTTACCCAAGGTCAGGTGCATCCAGAGATGTTCAATGGAAAATTTCAGAAATAAAGAATGTGTACATTTTGAATAAACTTTTTCCCTTACATTGTTATTATTGCTCCATTTATTTATTGTCAACTTCATCACTGCTGTGTGCATACGAGAAAAATCGGTCTCCACTGGGGGAACTGGAATGTGTCCCCATGGCTGGGCACTGTGGTATGGAAGGACAGGTTGGTAGGCACGCAGACAAGTGCCCTGCTGGCCTCAGACTGTCCCATGTGTAGGTGTCCCTGGTGCAGACCTTCGCCATTTGTCACTCTGGGCCTCAGCCTCTCTGAGGCCTGAGTTTACACTCTGCAGTGGAGGATGGTTCCTGACTCTGGCAGGGAGCTTTCCCAGCAGCTTCTACTAACAGTCTCTAAATCCCAGCAGCCCCCTTCTTAATGGCATCTGCATCTGAGAGCAATCCAGGAGACTCTGGTGGATTCCTCTAACCCTGAGTCCTTGCTGGCTACTCTCTGAAGGACCCTTGCAATTGGGGCTTATGCTGTTATGTGGATGGAGACCAGTAAGAGAAGTAGGCACCCTTCACCTCCTCGGATCAGCTTCACACGTGGCTTTGGGAGGGTGAATGCTGATGACAGCTCGAGGCTGCTGCACCTCTACCTACCATTGGAGGTAAACACACTCTCTCTCTCTCTCTCTCTCTCTCCCCCTTGTGAGGCATGAAGTTTTCTCTGCTGCTTTGCTTGCTTGTTTGTTTAAATTTAAAAAAATCCCAAGGATTTATATGTGCCTTTATCTCTGATTAGCTGAGTACTATTATTTGGTAGTACATAATTTTTATTAAAATAAATGTGTTTAGATGAGAAGCAGCATTATATTAAAGCTTCAGAAGAGGATCAACAAATGAGCTCCTTTGCCATTTCCTCCACTGTAGCAGGCTGAGAGAGAATCAGTAACAACATAAAAATCTTGGACAAAGACAAATGTCCTTGGTCTGTTACTGGGGCTCACAGGTCATATCCCAGGACCTGGCTTTTTCCTTCCAAGGGACAGCAGACCCTGAGCAGGCATCTGGTGGCACCCCAGGCCCTCATTTTTTTTTTCCAGGCACTCATTTTTGACATCTAGAAAATAAGAATGCTGAGGATACCTTCACTAAGATCCCTTCCTGCTCTGCACTGTTAGCATCAGTTCACATTTATAAGCAATCACCAAATGCAAAACATTATAATAACTGAAAAGAGAAAAAATTAATAAAACCAACAAACATACAAAAAAGGGAAAGCAAAGAGATAAATGTCACAACAGATAAATGGTTCAAACTTAAAATTAACAAACTGTCCCTTGTCCTTCGTGCCTTGGGATGCCAGAATAAACACATGTGTTCATGCAGAAGCATATTTCCCAGTAAGTCTACAGCACACTCCCCAAATCATGGGGACCCCTAGGGACAAAAGGGGTCAGGGGAGATCTAGGGAACATTCAATTGAGGCCTTTAAAGATGGGCAGGATTAAAAATCAGTTGAGGATGGTAGAGATGAATACACTCATCTGGATATTTGGTTAATTCTCATGTTATTAACCTGGCACATTAAATAAAGCCTTAGATGTGACTATTAATGGATAGAAGAGAAGAAAGAGAAAGAGAAAGAAAAAGGGAGGAAAGATAAAGTAGTTTGGTAAAATTGGCAAACTGGAGTGTACGGTTAAAAATAAAGTCTGGCAATAACGAGGAGGAAAAACAAATTGAAGAATAGTTCCAAACTTAGCAAAATATTCCACGCTACTATGGACACCTAATAAATATCTGTAATTCATGTCATGGTTGTTAAACTCTGCGACCACTGTGTTTCTAATATTTGTTTTAAAAATCAAAATTATAATTATAGAATAGACTGTGAGTCCATTTTTGGGAGATTAATCCTGTAGTATGCATCACATCAGCCACTGTTGCCAATTGGATACAGCAATGTTATAAAAATCTTCACCTTTCTTTTGAGATAGGATTACTGCATATTGGATACCAAAATCAAAAACAAATACATTCACTGGAGGGAGAACAGCTCACCATGGCTCTTGGCCATGGTGCCTTTATCCATAAGCACATGGTTTCAGCCAGGAGACTGCAAAGGCCCCACCCTGCTCTACTTGGTTTTAAGTTGCACATACACACAATGTGAATCACAAACAATCACAGCTGTATCTCAGTACATAAGATGGTCAGTGGACCTTAACGGGGTGACCTTAGGAAGGCCTGGGGACTCAATTTGTTATCTCACTCAATTTCTGTTACTACCCACCTCGGAATGTGGCTCCCTCTGAGAGTTCCAATTTCCCAAACAGCTTCCTGTCTCTTAGAGATACATGTCCAGTAGCTTCAAGAAAGCAAACTCCATAGCTTCCTGTCTCTTAGAGATACATGTCCAGTAGCTTCAAGAAAGCAAACTCCATAGTTCCCATCTGAAAATCTCTTTCATGACAGCGGAAGATGAATTCATGAAAAGCAGAAACAGTCATGTGGAGAGCAACACTATTTCCTGTGGAGCAGAGGGCTGTAGGACTGGTAGTGTTCCCTGCTGTGTCCACGCTCCGCTGTCCACCTGGCCCTGAGGGCCAAGGCCTCCTCCTCGCTCTCCTCCCCGGACTCAAACTCCTCGTCCAAGGTGAGGAACAGTGGCCTGGGCCGTGCTACCGCTCTCTTGCCTGGGCCAGGGTCTCTGCCATTGTTGAAGGGGCCCGCCACTGCACCTTGGGGTAAGCTCTTCATGGGGATCACCTCCTGTGCCAGCCGGCTTTCCCGAAGTGACCCCAACTGGGGATGTGCACTGAACATGATGGATGGAAATCCAAGGTCGCTGCTGTCATCATCTAGAAACACAGTGTAACAAGAAGACAAAATCAGACTCAGTATCAGAGTTAAGGGTTCCTGTCCAGGGTGCAAAAGCTCAGGGCAAAGCCAAGCCCTCTCTGGGGTCCTATCTTTCACCCTCAACTTTCCTATCAGCATATTTTCCCTTTCAAGGCCACTATTCCAAGGGACTGTGAGACAGAAGCTGTATGTGCAGTGTCATAGATACAAGGCAATGCACTGAAATCTATGTACCAAGTCAGTCCCCCTGGGTGACCAAGACAATGTTTTGTCACAAGATCAGACTAACTGGCCAAGGACGTGAGTCATAAGGCACAAAATTGCTGTGTCTAAAAGGCCAACACTAAAGATCACAGGGCATTGCTCTGTGACAGTGGTGAGCTGTCTCAGCTTGACTTTTACTTGGAGTCCCCAGCTTCTGGGAACACTGCCTAAAGGCATAGTGACCTGGATGCTTCTGTCCCCACAGCCTGTTCCTTCACCCTCCACTCATTCCCTTGAGTGTAAAGGTCCCTTAGGGGACAGATTCTGGCCACAGGCCCCTGACTTCCTTCTGTGTAGTGGTCAGGTGGGATCCTAGCATAAGAGGCCTATGCGGGTGACTTGTAAGGTTGTACCTAACTTAAGTGACAAGATTTGGCCAACATTCAAAGAACGACCCCCACCTTCTGGGATAAGGCCATTATAGAAGGTCTATTATCTCTCTGATGTTCTACTTTTTAATTTAATGCTTATTTAAATTTGTACATCACTGCTCTGATGAGCTTATTCTGGGTCATCTTTGGAGAAATATCAGTAACTCTTTCTTTCTTCCTTTCTATTCACTCAAATGACAAAATAACACTGGATTATTTGTACCAGGAGGATATTTTTAAGTCAATCTATCCCATCCCCTATATTTGCTGCTGTCTTGTTTGTTTTTGCTTGCTTTTTTTGTAGAATAGCTCATTGATAATCTCAAATACTACTAGGTAGGCAAGTCTTGTCTGGGAGTAGATGACTTGATCAATGAAACAGAATTAAGCTCAAAATTGTCTTTATCCTGAATGACCCAGTACAGCAAAGGTGATGTTTCATCTTGGAGGAAAAGATTCTGTCGAGACAGGAGTTCAGCCATTTGAAAATTATCTTTATTTTAATCCTTACACAAAGGTAAATCTCTGATGGGTTGAAGTTCATATGGGAAAACTAAATGACTCTAGTCATCAGGAAAAATAATTGAGTGAATCATTATCTAATTTTTCCATAAAAGTCAGAACAGATTTAATAAAAATTTTCTAATAGCAAATATATCTCAAAAAGTAAAGGGTGAATATGAAACTTGAGGGAAAATGGCGACACACAGGAGAGAAACGCAAATCTTTGCTTGATAGACTTCTTCAAGTTCATTTAAACACCAACAGCCAAATAAAAAATATAGAGAGAGGGCTGGGGATTTAGCTCAGTGGTTCCACTGCCTGCCTCAAAAGCACGAGGACCTGCGTTCGATCTCCGGTTCCAAAAAAAAAAAAAAACAAACAAAAAATATATGGAGAAACAGAAAATCCACAGAAGAAAGGCAGTGGTCCCCAAAAATATGAAAGCTTCCACACCTCACCGAAGATCACATCACAATGTTAAAGTTTTTGATCCTATAGAGCCCTGCTCAGCCCAGGATGATGGGCCGGGCAGCTGCTATGAGGGGCAGAGCGCACATGAGCGTTACCTGTGGCCTCCACGGCTCCTGCCTTTCTCCTCCCGGACTGAGGCTTGCTGTAGGGGAAGGACAGGTAGCGAATGTTTTTGGCACCAGCCTGTGGGTATCAAGTAGAAGTGAGAAAGAGAGTGAGGAAGACCTTCCCAGACCAGAAAGGGAAGAGGCCAAGCCCTACTGCAGCCCCTCCTTGGATAACTGGCTCTCAGTTTGGTTTAGAGGAAGCAGAAGGCTCAGTCTTCTGTGTGTAAATGGACTAGCGCGCACCTCTCAGTGCAACCCCACAGCCCCACAGAGCTGAGCACCAAGAATGAGGGTCTGGGCCAGCCCTGCCTTCCTGCAGAAGTCGCTGCAAGGCTGCAAGGTGGAAGACTAAGCACAGGTGGTGGCAGCCCCAGGAGGCGTTGCCCGGGGATAGCCCAGGTGTCCTGTGACAGACACTTGCAGACAGAAGCACTGTCCCCCCTGCACCAGTGCTCTGCGCACCTGTGTTCCCCAGGGCAAGCTGTGGCCCTTCCGCAGGCTCTCCCTCAGCGTGTTCTGCCGGCGAATCAGTATCTCTTTCGCCTGCTTCTCGCTGGTCTGGGGCTTAAGGTTGTACTTGTTGTAGGACAGGGTCTGTAGAGAGAACAGAATGGAGAACAGGTTAGGACTCCCCCAGCGTAACTTCCTGCCTGGGAGGTCACAGGACATCAGCTGCATGGAGGAGGGATTGTGTGGATTTGGGGGAGAATGTATTTAAAAAACAGTTGGTCTTCTCTTTTGCCCTTGGGGACAAATAGACACCACTCCTGACTATTTTGCCTGCTTGCAGGAAGCCGGGTATCTCCATGCACATAGTATAGGTGCTGGGTTCCACTCAACCCACAGTCTCATGAAGGGCTTGGTGGCTGGTCAGAGCCTGTTTGCCCCACTATCCTTTAGGTCCTGCAGAAGAAGGAACTTTACATCACTCTGTGTAGTGCTCCTAATGCTCGGTGCATCCCACATGTGCATTGGCTAGTGGGTGAGGAGCACAAAATGGAACACACTGCTTTCCTCTTTTACACGCACGTGGATGAGGGATCCTCTCACCTAGGCCACTCCAGGGACTGCCTGTCAGTCTCTGACCTCTTCTTGGAACCTAGGCTAAGTTCTTCTCTTGTAAATTCGGAAGAGTATTTCTCATGCTCAATCCCTCCATGTTCCACAGAGCTTCCCCTCAGGCCATCCTTCGATGTTTCCACCCTGTAGTTTCCACTGGGAACATACTGAGTTCAGGGACTTCAAACGGAGTGGCCAGAGACCCCATAGAGCCAGCTCAGTTTCAGACCAACTGTGGATTAGGGTCAGCCAGAGGCAAACACTGGCCCAGGTGGCTCTTGACTCCCCAGAGAGACCCTTCTAAGGCACTGACACTGAGAAGTGCCCCAACCACTGATGGCCTAGACTAGAGGACCACTGGTGGCTTTTACACACCATGTGTGTCAATCCTTAAAAGTGTGGATTTCCTCTAGAAACAGTGGAATGGATAGTTGCATTTTCGGGATGAGTTTTTTCTTTAAGAGACCAAAAGGATCATGGTGGCAGAGAAGAGTCTCACCACCCTTGAAAAGGTGGAGTTAGAAGATAAAGCCAAGGAGGGCTGGGACTGGTAAGCCTCCCCCTCAGGTACCAAAAGTGGAAAGAGAGGCACCTGATCTCCTCACTAGCGCCCCACAGGTACCCAGTAATAAGTCCTTGCAGTGACAAGAGGCCACCGTGCTCAGACCTGGGGCAATGAGAAGGAAAATACATGGAGCTCAGAAGGGAGAGAACTCTGGAGAACGGTGGAGGAGATAATATATGCAAGAAGAAAGGGGCCACCTGGGCACCTGTATTAAGGCCAGAGAAGACAGAATAGACCTGACTGGAGACTGGACTGGAGCTTCCAGATTTCCACCTCCACCTCCAGACCTTTGCTTGAACTCATCAACTTGAGCAAAAGGCTGAGTGCCTGCTACTCCTAGCCCTGGCTGTCACTAAGTTACCTGCATTCTTCAAACCAGGAAGCTCTTATCTCTGTATCTAAGGCAGGACGAGATTGTCTTCTGAAACAGTTTCACTTGGAAAGCTCTGGAGCAGTGGAATTTACTCTGAGCAGGCTCTCAGCTGATGCAGAGCCTTGCATGGACACAGCCCCTTAATCTTCACTGAAACAGGAAGCCAGAAGTTACTTTCCGTGGATTATGTAAGTTTGAATTCATGGAAAGAACACTGGGCCGGTGGTCAGGAGAGCTGTGCTCTTAGCTTAGATTTATTTTGTGACCTTGAACAAGTTGGCTCCTCAGGCTTACTAACCTCAGTGTTTTAACTTGAAAACGAAGAGCTTGCTGTAGATAATCGTTTCAAATCCCACTACAATGTGACCTATGTGACACTGTCACAAAAGCAAAGGCCCTCTGATACTCATAGTCTTACCAAGAATCAGGATGCACAAACTAAGAAAACAAAAAACAAAAAACCTCCTAAACAGATGACATCAACTCAAGTGTCATTTATCCCAAAGCTCTGAAAGGACTCACCCATTATCTAAGAAATATTTTTGTATGCACTAAGGCCTAGTAGAGGCTCCATGCCTATTTCCAAAACTGGAAATTAAGATGGCTTTTATTCTGGCTTTCAGCATCATACTGTCAATATGGCAGTTTTGTAACCCTTATTATCTCAAAATTACTGAGACAGCACAACTGCCTTTGCGCCCAGGTGCCTTCCTTCTTCTGTGATGCGATGGTGACCATGACAGCTGGTCCCTCTTTGGCGGAGAGGGAGATTTGAGGCTTCCAGAAACCTCCAGACTGCAGTGCTGGGGCAGACTGACCCCTAGAGATGGCAACTGGATTTGCATTTCTTTTTATGCCACTGGTGCCAACTTTACAGCAGAAACCTGAAATTGAACTTTCTGTTCTCCAAACCAAGCAGAGAGGAGTTGTTTGGGCAGAGGCTGCTTGGAGAGGCTAAAGTGAGCAAGGACAAGTTTCTTGAAGGACTGGTCCCCAGGGAAATCTGTGGGGCATCAAGGCAGGTGACTCGTACACACCCTTTGTCGAACTTGGTACAAGTTGTGTGTCAGAATGTCTCTCATGGACTCCACATCTTCAGGGGAAAGCCTCTTGGTCGCTTGTATCCTCTGGGCCCTAGAAGCACAATTGGAAGCAAGTCATCATTAGTCTCCCATCTTAGTAAAAGGTACCACCAAACACCAAATTTCAGAATATGTATTGTTCCTTAGAGCTTTTACATGGTTAAGGGGATGACAGCCAAGTAATTTTTCCCCTCTGAATCTTTTATGAATTGACATGTTGATAAAACATAATAAAACCCAGTTATTAGAAAATGGCATCATAAAATGGAATCCAAATACTGTTAAATTAAGCAGAAATAAAATTCCTCAAAGGTTGAGTCCTTGTTAGTTCTGTACTTAGTCAAATCGCAGACAGGTGACAACAAAGATGTGTCCAAGCACCACATGTTGGGAAAAACTGATCTAAGAGAAATCCAAGGTATATGAGTACATTTGCCTTGGAATTATAACTTTTGAGGATCTTATTTTTGGCTAGGGAATCATTTAAGAAACTGGAATCACATTTTATAAAGAAAATTAAGCCATTTACACCATGAAGGCCAGCCTGGCTCAGAGCCCTTAGGCACCGTGAGTCTCAGAAGGTGTTTCCAGCCCAGGTTGGGCCCAGGTTAGTAGTCAATGCACAATTGTCCCCTGGAGATTCCAAAGACATGACGCTGCTGTGGGAAGAATTCTCATGTGACAAATGTATTTGATTACAATCTGGTGGCTGTGCCTTTAAAAAACCTTTTGTTAGATGAGTAATGTGTGGTCACAGTAGAACATAAGAAGACAAAATAAAGAACTAAGGAAAATTAAGCTTTTTTTTCTCATATGATCATGCTGTAAATCCTAATGGTTTCACTGGTCTCTTGCTTGTTTCTTCTAGCTGCAGCTATTTTGAATGCCTGATGGCACCGATGGCTTTAATATCTGCTTGCCTATGTTTTTAGGATTATTGATCACAAACATGAGTAATTATTAGTTTCAATACAGGTTACCCTTTAAGTATTTTCTCCATTAACTGGTGGAAAGACAGCCATAAGTAGTTAAGACATTTCAAAAGTAATATGCAATTGGTAAAAGATTTAAAAGACTTGAATACTAGATATCACAGTATGCCAGGATTTTCGTTAGCAATGCCATCTGTACACTGACTAATGCCTTGCCTCCAAAATTACTGGAACCAAAATTTCCCTTGCATAGAGCTGCAAATGTCAACTCTGTTTATCTGCAGTTACCACCCTTGGTGATATAAACATTATTATCAGGGCATTTCAAGTTAACTGTGTACATGTCCTTCAAATAAAATTATTCTGACTTAGGTGCACCCACACTCTCACCATCTGAGCACATTCCTTCATTCTGATGAGTATAATGTACTGCTAAGCACCAGTTAGCCAAATAATGTCATTTTCTGTTCATCAGAAAACAAATAGCAAAACAACTGATAAAGGAAGTGGAAAAATGAAACTTGATAGAGTAGTAGATCTAACTTGGAACTCTGCCCAGTATGGAATTGACCACTTTGGGAAGAACCAACTTCATTAAAGGTCATTTGGGGTACTGGCTGGCCTGGGTAGCACCGGTATCTGGAAGGTGTCACATCTCCCTGGGCCACAGGGTCCACACTGAGAATCTGTAGCAGTGTTGCAGTGGCCTGGCTTCCCTGAGAGAGGTGGGATCTGTTTTTTTGTCATGCCACTTCTGAAACAGTCAGTCCTGAAATACAGCACAAGTGCAGTAAAGATACAGTTCTTAGAAAACTAAATTGGTAAGTGCCTGGTTCAAAAGAGTCAAATGATAAACCAAAAGACTTATCCCTAGAACATTCATTTATTACCCACAAAGGAAATTTCTGTCACTTTAAATAAAAGTTCTACGATAATTTCATAGATACTAAATACTAAAACAAATTGGAAAAATCTGAATCCAAATGTATTTGAATACAAGGTTTGCATTTTTCATAACTTCCTCTTCCTTCCTTCTTTCTTTCCTTCTTTCCTTCTCTCCTTCCTTCTTTCCTTCCTTCCTTCCTTCCTTGGTGACATGCTATATTAACATAAAGGAACCCTTCAAATTCAATGTTGAAATCCAGTAGATGCTATATTTATGCATAGTATGAATTCTCAAAAATCAAATATTATTTCTTGATTTATTTAGAAGAGCATGTTTTCTTTTCATGCCTCAGCGTGAAGTCCTGGGGAAGAGCACACACAAATGACCTGAAGCCTGACCTACTGCAGCTCCATTCTGTGCATGGCCACCTTGTGTCCTTTTGCAGAGGGCACCAAGATACTCTACCTTTAAAATGAGTGAAGTGTGACCATGAAGATAGCCTCACTTCCCAGGAGACAGCACTCCATTATGGAAGCAGAAAATGGTGCCTTGGCATCCGTGTAAGAATGCAGAGATGTGAAATGACAAGGGGTGATTGAAAGATATGGTTAATGTTTAAATTCAAAAAGTTGTTACAGTAAAAGACCAAGAATGAAGGAACATGTGTGTTCAAAGCAGGAGGGCCGTATTCTGAGGGGGATTAATGGCAATGTGTCTTTTATTGTAATAAATTTTTTAATTTAAACATGTCCCCGTATTTTTTATCACTTTTTATTGATCAAATATTAAAGGCAACTTCTGTCAAATAAAAAACTTTATAGTGTGTCCTCATTTACCTTATTCACCATATTCTGGCTTTTCCCCAAGGTCCAATGACCAAGAAAGGGAAATGTTTTGAATTGATTCAGGATATCGTGGCAGCCATGCCAGGGCAACTAAAGACACACAAGAGAGAAGACTTCAGAGCTGCTGCAGAACGTGGCAAGAATGATGGGATAAGTGTGTTTGAAGCAGGAGGGATTTTGAAGGGGATTCATGCCAATGTGCCTTTTTACTATAATGCATTTTCTACAATTCAAATGTCTACCTTATTTTTATTATACGTCATATACCTGTCAATGTGTGATCAATTAGATAAATTTTAAACTAAAATGAAATTATTATATGCTTTTTTTAAAAAATGGCATATTAAAGTTATCCAGGAGTTTTGATATAAAATACGTTGAGGTTGTATAGCTGCAGTTTATGTTGATAAATTTATAAGTATTTTAGTATCCTTATAAAATTAATCCAAATATTTCTTAAAATTTTCGTGCTCTTAACCATTTTGAGCCTCTATCCTCTAATAGTTTCTAGTAGCTTACTACTCATAGGTGAGATGAGCTGATTCATATTTAAAATAATAAAATGTATATTTTGCCCCTTCCATAGGACTATTTTGAAGTTCAAGTAGGTAATCCATGTAAAAACAACGGCCTGCCTCAAATCCACATTATCTGAGCTGTACCACAGACAATTCTGGAGGTAGCAATCTTCTAGAAGTCACAGAATTTGGAAAGCTAAATCTTTTGTAAAACAATTGTTTAAACTTCTAAAGAAGAAAATATATGTGCATTTTGTTGTTATATCTCATACAGAATAACAAAAAGTGATCTGAGTATACATTTCTTTTTCCTATTATTGTATGAAGGTTTGTTTTTTAAGAAATTAGCTGCTTTGATCTTAGGAAAGGAATTCCTTTTTGCTTGATGTCCTACAGATCTCTGATGAGATCAAATACATGCAATTTAAATACTAAACTTGTACTAAATATCAGCTTTAAAAAATCTTCTCTCTTACTCCAGTTAATTAACTAGTTTAGTCTATAGGAAGGGGAAAACCCCTTGCATGTAAGACTCTATTGCTAATCTTGGATTAGTTTCTGAAGAAATATTTGACTCAAAGCCAGGGTTGGAGGAGGTTCCAAACAAAGCTGTTTTAAACATTGCCTTTGGGTCAGAAATTGGGGCAGTTAATTATGGTCAATGTAATGCAATTCCAAGGTTCAAAATATGTTTGAGCACATGAGAGACTGATTCTCATTGAGATAAGCACCTGCAATCCTAGACAAAGCATCATCACTGGGAAGAAAGCCAGTTGAGGAAACTCCTAATGGTCCACCTGTCTGGAGCTGTCCAGCCCTCCTTGGGCACATTTGCTCAAATCTTCCTGCAGTGAACAGGTCACACATGGATACCAGAAGACCATACGAGCCTCAACCCTCACATACAGGTATAGCTTCCTTCTAAGATTCCACATTGTGTGACCTTTTTATTAATGCCATGACCTGCCAAAGTACAGAGTCCATAAGGGCAGGAACTATGTCTGCTTCCCTGCTTGGCCCACAGTTGGCATCTAATGAGCAGGACAGGAGCTATGGTGCAAAGAATAAGGGGGCCAAGATACTCAGTCATTAAGTAAGGTTTTAAGGCAGTATTTTCAAAAATGCAAAAAAAAAATCTTTGATGTCAACATTTTAAATGAAAACAAGATCAGAATTTCTGATTTTTCCTGTGACCTCTGGCTCCACTATGGCTTAGTACAGCACTGCCTATAAACATTTGTTAGCACTTTCCCATTTTAGTATGGGAAGTTTCCTCAGAGCAGCATAATGGGCAGCACAAAACAAACAAACAAGCCAGAAATCCAATCTCACAGAGAAGTAAGGCAAAAAGCCTTTTGTTTATATTCAGATACCCTCAGGGATGCTAGGTTAGCTGTTCCTCAGGCCAGGGAAGAAAGGTAATGGTGTTTCTGATTCACTAGCAGGTAAGGGAGGAAGGTGTTATCTCAGCAATAACACCCAGGCTTTAGCAACAATTTTATTGCTACCTATTCTTAGCCCTTCTTTCACTGGCTTTGCTAATGTGAGGACAAAACTGAGGCTCATGATCAAGTATCTTTACCTACTGTAGATGACAGAATGGCGGGGGCTGATGTTCCTTTTCCTAAATATAGATGGTGATTAATTTTTAGAATTCATCAGCTATCCCTTGGAAGAAAAGTGGGCATCTTCAGGAGGTAAATTAATTTTTGTGATATTAAAGGAGCTCATGTTAAATGTCAGAGAGTTAAAACAGCTTTTAAAAATATCTAGCCAGCTTTGAGGCAATTGGTTAGCAGATGGTCCAAGAGAAACATCATGTTTCAAAAGAAATCATCATGTAACGATAGATTTATATACAAGCACCACCTTTCCCTACATCCTGCCTCCGCATCAACTCCCTACAGTCTTGTTTTCAACAGGAAGCCAGCAACTTCTTGCTCCCATTCCAAGCTGTTCTCAGACAAACTGAAGGCAAGCCTCAAAAATATACATCAATCTTTGCCTTCAGCACAGCTTTCTCTTTAAATTTCCCCCTACACCTGCCACACCTCTGGCTACCATCACTTATGCCCTGTTGTGTTTTGGGTGAGTGGCCTCCAAAGGTCCCCATGTAAGAACTGGGTCCCCGGGGTGGTGGTACTGGGAGGTTCCTGTGGACCTTAAAAGGTGGGACCTAGGGAGAGGATTTTAGGTCATTGGTAATGTACTCTTGAAGGCTATTGTTCCTTTCTCTCCCTGCTTTCTGATTGGAAATGTGAGCATGCACCTTGATATCCACTCCTGATATGATATGCTGTCCTTGCCACAGGCCCAACACATTGGGCCACTGGGACCTCCAGAATAATAAGCTCAAACAAACTTTCTTTAATAAGCTGATTATTTTAGGACTTCATTAAAGTAACAGAAAGCTGACCAGCACACTCTTCTATCTTGGTGCTTCCTTTAATGGAACCATGAGTTGTGTCCCTTGGAATTCTGACATTGAAAGTCCAGATCAAAGAGGAGACATAACTTACTGATAGGGTACAGAAAACACTGTAGAACTTAGTATGCCAGTCTCTACCATCTCAATAGCTTGTTTCATTTCCAGCTTCTTGTATAAAGAAACAATGCTTGATTTGGGTAGGTTCTTCCGGATTAGGATTTTCCGTAAGTATTTATGATCAAACTTCTTAAACCTAAAAATAAAAACCAACATTTTGGAAATCTTTCATCTCTGTATGTTGTCTATATGTCTGCATTTTTTTCTTAAAAACAACTACTATGTAACTTTATTCTGAAAAACATCAAGACAGTGCCTCGAATACATAACGTTTGAATAATTTTTACAAATTCATAGTATTTATGCATTTTTTTTAAATAAAGAAAGAATAGCCCACTAGCCTGAATATATTGTCAATCAACTAAACAAAAAGAAAGGGACAATCTGCAATCAGGGCAAAAAGTATGCGTAAATGGGGAACCAGGGGAGCTCAGCTCGGGTCCCACTGTAAGAAAAGAAATGAGGAGCCACAGTTTTTGATTGAATGTCATGCTAATAGCCCATAACACACCAGCTGCATTTACAGTGATATAGGCCTATTCAACCAGAACTAGGAAGTTTAAATGGCCCAGTAGTTACAGTAGTTTCTCTCCATTATCCTGCAGCTCATTTTGAATCCTGCCAGTTAAGGAAGAGAACAAAAATCCCACACATACCCTCACGGTCTGAATGAGAGAGACTGAAATAGGCTAGACACTGGTGGCCAGTGATTATTGCAGCAACCCTCTGGCCAACTCATTAGACTGAGCTGCACAAAATGCATATGGCGGGATTCAGCCATTTGTTTATACAGTTTGAATTTTCAATATTTCCAACCATCATTTCACATTCAGGGAGCAACTTGTCTGCTGCTCTATGTTCTGGAGGGGAACATAATTTCCTGAGCTGCTAGCTTATCATCTGATGGCTGGTTTCCTGATCCCTGAGGTGGGCAGACTGCATCAGGTACATTCCCTGGGGTGGGGGTGGGGGGCATTGTAGGCTGACTTCCTGAGCTCTGCCGTCTGTTTGGCCTGGATCACACCTGTTCCTACTCTAGCTGGGTAACCGTTTGACCTTCTGGTTTCTGCGCTTTCTGATGAGAGACCATGGCTCCTATTAATCCCTCAATCCAGTGTCACCAGCTCCTCCACCCTTACAATGTGTCTGACCTTCTTCTTCCTGAGCCTACCTTGACCTTTCTCTGTTCCACTACAGTAGCTGCCATTGCTCTTACCCTATGGCAGCTGTCTCTCAATGTGTCGGGTCATTCCTCCCCCTCCTAGCTCACTTCTGCCTTCCTTCTGGCCTCACTAACTGCTTCTTTCTGTGTCCTTCTGCCCTTTCTTTTCCTGACCAGACCCCTAGGCTTGGGAGTTTCCCAGAACCCTGTCTTCAGCAGCTTCCCCTCTTCACACCCTTGTAATGAACTCAAGCATACCCATGACTATCGATACCCACCTCTACTTGGCACCTTACAACCTTTGTCTCTACCCACAGTCTTCCTCTTTGAGACTAAGTCTGGAAGCGGAACCAGTTCAAAAATGTGAGCTATGGCAGAGAAGAGGGATTTTGGAATTTTAAAGAATCCTTATGTAGGCAGCACCCTTAAAGATCTTCCATGTTTGCAACACCTATAATGAAAACTCCCTGCCTAGGATTCCCAATATGTCACCAAATCCCCTCGCAACCTCAGGAAGCCAGTTTTTGCACAGCTAAGCTGCTTTTATCATGGGAAACCTTGTCCTTCCTTTAAATGTAACTATGACTTCTTTATTTCCCATCCACCCAGGGTGCTGGTGCTCTCCCAAGTAACCCAAACCCAGACCCAGTCTGTTCCACAGACAGGGCTCATTTCCAGGGTAATAGCATCCAGGGTGCCCAGTTGCTTCTTGGGTGGCATGGCTCCTGGGCCTTTGTCTTCCTGGTCCCCCTTGAAAGTTCCCAATGATACAAATACCTTGGTTAGGTAATGAAACCCCGACCACCTTACTTGTCTCTCACTTGGTAGTGACTCCACTGCCCACACACATCTTCAATGCCAGCCTTCAAGTGATCCATCAGCTGCCAGAGAAAGCATAAGGAAATGATCGCTGGTGAAGGAAGAGCTCCAAGAGGTACACAAGGAGCACTAATGCACCTTGCAAAGGAGGAAGGCTTAGTTCCCTGACGCATATCTTTTTTTTCTATCAGTCTGTTCATGTAACTGAAATACACCCTGCCTTTCATAATAATTCAACTTAGGTTCATGACTGAGAGACTCCAGACATAAGTCTCTTGCAAATACACAGAACATGCAATGAAAACAGCATACCTGGCCTTGGATTTTCTAGAACGACCTAGGAAATATCTCTTTTCTGAAATCATAAGGATGCAAATTCTAATGATTAACTTTTACGTTTAATTTCATTGTTAAAAAAGAACTCATCAGTATCTAATACACACAGTTTCTCAAAATATAACTCTTCAGATAATCTATATAAGAAAATCTAAGAAGGAAACTATCCATATTCCTCATCTTAATATTTTCCCCATTTTATATGACCATTTGACCTAGGTATTTACATTTCAACATACAAGCCAATACTGCTACATTTGTTTTATACACAATTATTTACAAAAATTAGAGAAAATTATAATTTTAAAATAAGTACAAATTAATCTCTGTACCATTTGAATTAAAAATCAGTGAAGTTGTTACCGGCTTCTGAATTTTTTTCAAAATAGATTAAATACTGGGCTATTCTTCTAATAATTGATTCACTGATGTCTACAAATAATTAAAACTTAATTGAGAAAGGAATGAACTATCCAAATTCTATAGACTTAGGTATATGCATAATATTTTAAAATAATCCAAGAAGATAAAGATAGAGAAAAAAATCTAAAAACCAATTAAAGTATTACATATTTTGAAACACTCACTCCCTATTCTAATCTGTTGACTATTTTCAAATGACTTTGAAAATTTCTGGTTTGTATTTCTTGAAATTTATTGCCTCAGATGATTTTGCTATACAATTCAGCGCTGATTTAGATAGATTTAAGCAAATTTCATACATTTCTCCAGCATTAGACTTAGGCACCCTCAAGGATAGAAGAATCCTAAAATATTACCTGGGCCAATCATCCCCTCAAATCATGACTTTCAGGAGCAGTAATTATGCCAAGTGTTCCCAATCACTGCTTGGACACATCCATTGCCCCTTTGGGTATGCCAATCAAGAAATGACTATCAGAACGCTCTTTCAAAAATGAGCTGAACTCATTCTGTCCCTCTATCTATCTATCTATCTATCTATCTATACATCTATCATCCATTTTCTCATCTTCCATACGTTAATTCTCATTTCTATTCCTGGGAGCCATCCCTTCAAACTGTGTTGAACTCTAACAGGTACGAGCCATGTTCAATTTCATATCCATCTTTGTCAGAGTGGAATTTTATTTTTACCAAAAACTGCTACTCAGCCAGATTTATAGAAGCAGTAACAGCCTTTACTCTTCCCCTATTAAGAATTCTAGAAAAGCAAAAGACCCGGGTTCCTGTACAGCAATGAATTTAAAAGCAAGGAGAACTGGGCCAGGAATTTAGCTCAGTGGCACCATGCCTGCCTCGCAAGTACAAGGTCCTAAGTTTGATCCCTGGTACCACAAAAAAAAAAAAGCAAGGAGAACAACTTTTAACTTAGTCACTTTATGATTGGGCAAGTCCCCATTATTCAATCAAACACTAGATGTTATTGCTGTGAATATATTTTGTAGATAAAATAGAATTCATCATCAGTTGTCTTTAAGTAAGAGAGGTAATCCTAAATCAGCCTAGTGGCCTGATTTGATCCGTTGAAAGTCCTCCTGGACAGAGCTGAAACTTCTCAAATGAGAAATTCTACTGGTAGATAACAGCCCCAGTCTGGGCCAGAGTTCCAGTCTGCCACCATGCTGTCCTAGGATTTTGGACTTGCTAGCCAGCTCAGACAAGAGTGTAAACCAATTCATTTCACAGATCTCTTCATTTCTTCTGCTGGTTCTGCTCCCCTATTGAATGCTGAGAGAAACACTGCCATCTTGAAATAAAAGGGAGAGCGGAAAAGGACAGAATGAAAGAAGGTTGTGGGACCCCAAAATTCTGCAGGGAGGAAGTTGGCTGATGAAACCACTTGACAGCAAAAGTCAAGTGACTTACCTTTCACAAAAAGGAAGTGCGGCCCAGAGGGTGGAGTGCAGATCCCAGGGAAAGGAAGAAAGTAAGCACCACAAGAGATGGTGATAATTTCCTGACTTTGAAACAAAATAGTTCTCCCAGGAACTTTGTAATTTTCTAAGGATCCATGACTCCTTTTTCTTCCATTTCCCCCCTCTTTAAAGAGAATACCAACACCTGCTATCTGATGGCTATTCTGCCAGCATAAATGGGGAGCAGATAACTTGTTCCTTGAGTTTCACAGGCTCACAGATGAAGAGGAGCTGGGCCTCTGGATGGATTCTACCCAGAGCCTCATCCATTCCTGACTTAATGTTTGAGATGATGTGATTTGGGACTTTTGCGATGAAGAACTTTAGATAAAGATTTGGATTGAGACTTCCAAGATACTGGGATAGAGGACTGTAAAATAGACATGAAGTTTTAAGGGACAGAGGGCAGAGAGTAAACAGAATAATGGGCTCACAAAGTCGTTTGCAAAATCTTTAAAAATTGTGGATGTGTTCGTTTATATGCAAAGGAGAATTCCAGTAGCCCATGAGAAGAAGGTTGTTAATTAGTTGACCTTAAGATGAAGAGAGCACCTTGAATTATCTATGTGAGCCCAGTACAATCAAAGAGATCCTTCAGTGTGGAAGAAGGAGGCAGAAGAGCCACTGTCAGGGTGACACAGAATGAGGGTGACCTGACTGGCCACTGCTTGCCTGGAGATGGAAGAGGCCACCATCAAGGAATGCAGGAAGCCTCTAGAAACTGGGAGATGGAAGGAAACAGATTCTTCCTAGAGACCCCAGAGAGGCTTGCAGCCCTGCAGTGCCTCACCTGAAACACATCTCAGACCTCCACCTCCAAAACTGTAAGATGATACACCTCGGGGTTTGAGGCCGGTAAGGCAAGCTGATTCCCTAGAGCAATATCAGGAAGCTAGTACAGGGCTGTCAGTGGGGCTGGGGAGGGACAAAACCACAGGCTTGGTGACATCTAACAAGTCTCATCCAGGCTCTAGATTTCTCTCCTTGGGGAAAAATGGGATTATCATATAAATCCATTATTTACAATAGAGATAACTTACTCGGATATGAAGCTCTTCGTTGATGGATTCTTTTTTATTGGTCTTTCTGACATCCAGGTACCTGACCAGAGGCCCAATTGTGATTCCCTAGATCAGAAATAACAAAATAAAGGGTTTTGCTGAGGTGAAGATTGTCACTACAGGGAACATATCTGTTATCCAAACTACTAGAATGTCCAAGTTATACATGTTTGTTTCCAGTTTCTACTGGATAGATGCACAAATGTTTACTTTAGTTTTGAATGTCATAATAAAAATACCTATAACTGTCTTATTTTAATATGAAAGCTTGATTTATCCCTTAAATTAACCTTTTATTAGTTCATTAAGTGTTAAGTCCAGCTAAAACAAATACTTATGCCATCAGATACTAATTAGAATCTCATTTTCAGACCTAGACTGTAAAGTAGCTATCATTCATTTGTAACCCAACAATATTTTAATTTATGTGTTTTATTAGTTAAAAGGAAGTTAAAGGCTGACCATGAACGTGACCTAAAAATATTTAGGAATTTAGTTTGATAATGAGCACAGATAAAAAACTGAGAAAGTGGCATTATTTGCATTTTATCAATTTACTACTTGGCCCTGAAAGAATCTACTTATTTCAAATAGGAAAGAAAGCTACCAACCTGAATGAACACAGTAAAATAGATAACTACTAAAGTAGCAGTGACAAACAGTTTCTTCCTAGGAAAAAGAGACAGAGGAAGCAAAAACGCAAGTGAAAAACTTCCAGCTCCACGAACACCGCTGTAGAAAATTATGAACTGGTCCTTGATGGAGAAGGGGAAAGTCCGAAACTGGTTACTGATATAGAAGAGGGCAAACACGCCTGGAAAGGGGGAGAGACGGATTAGCCAGAGGCCTCAGATGTGAGAGATACAGCCTTAGCAACAGAGCTCCTGCTGCCCCTACCAAGGTCGCCCTTCCCAGACAGAAGCTGCACTCCCCACACCTGTAAGACTGCCCTGCCTCAATTTGGAAGTCTTCTCTGGTGACTGCTTAGTGTTGTGTGTGCGCGCGCGCGCGAGCGCGAGCGTGTGTGTGTGTGTGTGTGTGTGTGTGTGTGTGTGTGTGTGTATGTGTGTTTACAGAAAGTCAATCTTCGTATTTTTATGCAAGGTATTTATTTGTAATAGTTCCAATCCATCTTTACAATGTTTGCTCTGCCTTTCAAAAATAGATAAAGCAAGGATATTTGGGAAACAAAAATGTTCTTGTCTCAAATTCTCATTTGATACCCAAAACAGATCAGTGATTTTTTTTGTTTTGGTACCAGCCATTGAACTAAGCTACAACTCCAGCCCCTTTTGGCTTTTTATTTTGAGACAGGATCTTGCTATGTAGCCCAGGCTGGGCTCAGTTTTGCAATCCTTCTGGTTCAGCCTCCCAGAGTGCTGAGATTACTGGTGTGCACCACTGCACCCAGCTGTAGTCTGTGACTTAAATATGAAGAGCTCGCTTAGCAACTGGGGCTTCTCCACGTGAGCAGATCCTCCCTGTTAGGCTCAGTGATTCTTGAGGTTGAACAAGCAAGGAAGGGTGTTGACAAGGGCACAGGAGGCTTCCTACTGCCCATGAGCATCTAAGTGGAAGGACTTTACCTCACAGATTCTCCAGCCTCGTGCCCCCCACCCCACTAAAGCCCTGATGAATTAAAGAAGAGCTTTCACTGCAGCACAGCAAGACTGTCTATACCCTCCTGATCACCGCAAGCATCTTTGGTAGTGCAAACGACAATAGAATTTAAACAAAACAAACTTTTTCAATGTATTTTATCTGTCCTGGTTTCTCCACATACCAGGCATTCAAGTTATGGCAAGGTTATTAATCACTGCAAGACTGAGCCGCTTTATCTGCTTATCAGAGGCTTCAGTATCCCAGCTGTCCTTGGCATCTCTGAAGGATACCATGATACCCACCATGAATACCAGATTTCACGATGCTCAAGGCCTTGTAGGAAATGGTATAGTGTTTGCACTGAGCCTACATGCATCTTCCTGAATACTTCAAATCATCTCTAAATTTCTTACAATATTTAGTACAAAGTCAATGCCAGCTAAGTAGTTGTTACTCTGTATTGTTTAGGGACGCACAACAGGGAGAAGTCTGTATGTGTTCAGCACAGACGCAATTTTCTTTCTAATATTTCTGGTCTGTATTTGGCTGAATCTCCAGATGCAGACCTACAGGTATGGAGGAACAGTTATTCACACTTTATAGGGTAGATGAAAAGATTTTTAAAAAATGAATACTCATAAGTAACATAAAGCAGGGCCTCCTATATTATAAGCCTTAATGAGTCTTATAAGCCTTCATCATTTCTGTTATAAACAAAGAGTCAGGATGAAAAGGACTCGGACTCCAACACCTGCTCTGTCCAGCACCATGATGCAGTCCAGCCCCCACTCTCTCAGTGGGACATCAACTCTAGCAACTGTAAGACTACGGAGTTGGACTGGTTGGTCACCAAGGGACAACAGTGTTGGTCTTCTCCTAGTGGCTGGGCTGAAACTCTGTACTTTAATTCTCCTTATATTGGCTCTATTTCCCTGTAGATTTGTAGAATATTAGGGCTGAATGAGATCTAAATACTTCATCTATATCCATCATTTCAAGGTCAAGGAAGAAGATTTTTGAATAGATAAATGTCTAAGTTCAAATAGCTAGTTAGTAATCATACCAGGATTCCATCTGAGATTTTAAATGTATGTCACAGTTTCCTTTATTGTTTTTCCACCAGGAACCCAGTAGGCATACATATTCAGTTACTTCTGTCAATATTTTAATACTTCTGCATTCTTGTTATTCTTTCCTAGATCCTCAGGGCCATCCTAAATTAATTTAGAACTGGCATGTTCAGTATAAGTTCTCAACCATTTCTTCTAACTTCTCTTTGAATAACTGGCTTGAAAAGATTAGTCAAAGTCATTTAAAAACCATAGCTACTTCTAATCAAAAGACATGTGTACACACATTGTAGTTTAGTGCCCTGGGATCTTTTCTAGTTCCTTAAATACAAATGTACAAAATAAATCACTGTATATCATTTCCAAAAATTAGGCATATTTTGAAGGGCTGAGGTCAGTGACATTATAGTTATAGTTGCTCTTATTAGTTAATACTAAAGTCTTTTAAAAATAATGGTTGGCTTCCTAGTCCTTTGTCTGTTATCCACCCACATTTTCTCCACCCCAGATGATTTAGGGGAATATTTTTCAACAGTATTTGTTTTATGCACAGTACCATTTGTGAGATCTCACTGATCTTGTAACAACAGTGTCGATGCCCACAGTTTATTATGTGTATTTGATTTAAGGTAAAAGAGGGTAAACACTAGTAAGCAATGAAGAGGGAGGGATACATCTACTGGGTTATATTTAAATGTGTAGATGTGAAAGTTCCCTCTTCAATTAAAAAAATACTCGGGTGCTCCTGTTGTGCTTCAGTGTAGAACCTTGTCAGCCAGCCACTAACTACTTTGAGCTGACTGAGGGGCAAAGAAAAGATAGTCCTGGTACTACAAGGTGCCTGGACAACCCTAGCCAGTAAAACCAGTTAACATCATCTCACTCCTTCTGTCTTCCCATTACAGAAGGGAAGAAGAGAGCTGTTATGATTTATATCTCGGTGTCCCCACAAAGCCTCATGCTCAAAAGCAGGGCTTTTGAGAGTGGCTGGATTATGGAATCAGTATAGTTGATTGACTTGTTGACAATCTGGTCTGAAGAGGCAGGTCCCTGGGGGCATGACCTTGAAGGGTTTATCTCCCTCCTTAGCTCCTTTTCTCTCTGCTTTCTGTCCACCATGCTTCGAGCAGCTTCTTCTCCTCTGTTCCCCTCTGCCATGCTGGCCTGACTTAGAGCTAGACAACAATGGACTGAAACATCTACAAACTATGTACCCAAATTAACCCTCCTTGCTTTAACTTGTGGGTGTCGTATACTGTGTCCCAGCACCAAGGGAAGTGGCTAAGACAAGAACTGGGAAACAGAAGCCCAGAAGCCTGCAGGAGTCTGCAGGCCCTGCTGTGTCTTACTGATGGCTCTCCAGATCTGGCAGAAGACTAGAGTGAAGCAGATGAAGGCCCAGTTCCATTCGTGGTTCTTCCCAATGGTCGACACACCCATGAAGATGAAGATGAGGGTCTCACTGACACTGCTCAGCATCTTCATAAAGTACTTGATGGTTGTGTAGGACGTCTGGGATACATTTTCTTCCACATACTTTTTCATTGTCACTGCACAGGCTGTGATTCTGGAAAAGAGCAGAGGCTCAGAGAGAAGGAGCTACTTAGGCTTCCACAAAATGTCCTCCATATTGGCAAAGCCACAGACACACAAAGCCTGTTTGTATCCAGAAAGAAAGAATGTCTCCTGAGTCTCTCTCTTCTGGCTGTAGACTTTCCACTTTCCACAGATTTTCTGTCTTCCTCTTCCCCTCCCCTAGAGGTCTCTACAAGAAAAAGGGGGCATAGTGGGGAAGGTGTATGTGATGTGGCCTCCTCCAGTAAAATGGTGGGGCAGTTCCAGAAGGCAATCCTGAAGCTTCTTTGCCTTCCTTCCACTTCCAGAGCTCTGTTGGGCCCAATTCTTACACTCACCTTTAATCTTGCTTAAATGAAAATAAAACCTCGTTGGTTGGATGTACATAACAATTCATCAAGGCCCTGATTTTCTCCAACCAAATAACACTTTTTGTAACTATTTTATGACAAATTTTTCATTCTGAATATTTCTGTTCTAGAGCCATTTAGCAAGTATGGGGAAAGAACTTTGCCTTGTCTCAGTGTTTTTAAGGTGAGAAAATGATGGAGGCCTAGACTTTAATTGGTATAGGTATTCGTAGGTATTAAAGTTAACTATTTCTGCCTAAATATCTGGATATTAAGTCAACATCATTGAGAAAACAATGTGACAAGATATAAACTAAACTGAGAAGCCTCATTCTAAGAAAAACATCTCAAAGTCACAAGGACACAAGATAAAGCATCTCAAAAATATTTTCATTAGATCAAAGAAATTTAGGTTTCTATACTGATCCCATCTGCTTAGTGTCAGCCCACCATGAAGGGTCATGGATCTGTGAAGGTGGTTGAGGGGGATGGCAGGAGGCCCAGGAAGGGATGCATGTCTCTCTTCTGCCTGAAAATTAGTTTTTCAAGAAAAAAATAAAAACAAAACTATCCAGATGGTAGATTCCCCAGATTTTCTCTGCACCAGCTTTTCTGAGTTGGCCTTATAATTGCTAGGCACTCCTCAGGCAAATCACAAGGGAACAAACACAAATGTTGGAGAGAATATTTGTTTGGCAAAGGACCTGAATCAGATTTCATAAAAGTTAAACACAAAACTCTAAGCCCCAAAACACCTCTAATGATTAGTATCAGAATCCATGCCTTCTTCAGGTGCCTGGTTCACCTCCTAGGGTCATGAACTTTCTTTGTAGGGTGAGATACTTGGACTGTACTCACGCTAGAATGCCTGAGAGATACAGTGTTTCCGCAACTAAGTAAGACAGGTAGCTGAACATGAAGACAATGAGCGGTTCAATCGCAGAGATGTTCTGAGTGAAACGTGTGATAAATGCAGAAATGAATCCAAAAATTATGCCAAAAAATACTCCCCCACAGCCCACAACGATGAATCGGGCACATCCAGCCAAAATGTCAACAGGCTCTATTTCTTCAAATTTATGCATCTTTGTGAAGGCAATTAACATATTGTATAAGACCTAGGCAAAAAAAGAAAAAGAAAAAGAAACATGATTTAGAAATTAGAAACAATTTATGCACCAATTCTCAACTTGATACATAACTACCTCATAAGAATGAATTGCATAACAAAGCTATCTAACTTTTAGACATATTCCAAGTATTTTAAATGTCCTCAGATTCACCAAATAAAAAGCATAATACTCAAACTTCCAATAAATAAGAACATGATAAATGTTTGAGGAGACTGATTTTCCTGTTTTGATCATTATTTATTGTGTGTATACAGTAGCAAATTATCATATTTTACACTACAAATATAAACAGGTCCCAAAAGCGGTCCCTCTGTGACCTTGCAGCTCCAGCCCAGGATTAGCTGTTTACACACGTCCCTAGTAAGGCCATGTGCACCATATGTGTGTGCCAGTATTCCACCGAGCAGCACACTCTCTGAAAGCCATAACCCCTTTCCCTGCATGCAGGCTGTCCCTCTGAATGCACCCTGCCCCTCAGGAGGGATTGCTAATGCCTGGCTCCATGTGCCTTTGTGAGGCTAGTTTGCCCAGAAAGTTCAGACCAGCTCCAGCCTGGCCATCTTTCCCAGTGAGATCCAAATACATCTAAGTCTTTCCTCCTTGGGATCCTCCTTCAGATATGGGGACCACGGAGACTTCTCTTTTATATATGAACTTTAACTTTATTATAGTTAACAAATTTTGTGTTAAAATTTTTCTCTTGGGGGGCTGTTGATTTTCTAGGAGAAGCTTGCTGTGGTTTGTTTTCCTGGTGGTTTAATATTGGCTGCTGATTACTCTCAGCTTGAACTGAAGATCTTGGGTCATTTATCTCATGATCATCATCTCATTCAAGTATTAAACAGTGGAGCTGATGTTTTCAAGAGTATTGCAGCAGAATGGAAGACGGTGGAGCCAGAGTCTGTTGGAGATGATCTGAGGCAACAAGCAAAACAGGGATTAATTGCTTTCTGAGAGAGACAGTAAAGAATTGTGAAAGAGATGGGTTTGTTCAGACCATTTTGGGAAGGCGTAGATATCTACCAGGAATCAAAGACAATGACCTTTATCATAAAGCTCATGTTGAGCGTCATGCCATCAACACAGCAGTCCAAGGATCGGAGCTGACATAGTCAAAATAGCCACAGTTAACATTCAGAAGCAATTAGAGACCTTCCATTCAGCCTTCAAATCCCAGTCATCAGGAGAGGATTCTCCAAAGTGACAGAACAGGATTATTACCAAAGAGAAAAGTGCAAGGGATGTTCTGCCCAATCAGAGGAGGCTTCTTCATCCTTCAGCTCCATGATGAACTTTTATACGAAGTAGCAGAAGAGGGTATTGTTCAGGGAGCTCAGATTGTCAAGAATGAAATGGAAAATGCCATAAAACTTTCCGTGAAGCTGAAAGTGAAAGTGAAAATAGGTGCCAGCTGGGGAGAGTTGAAGGACTTTGATGTATAATTGTGCAGCTGACTAGGTCTCCTGGGAAGAAGCCTGGAGCAGATAAAGTCAGCAGGAAAGAAGAGAGACTGCCCTCTCACCTGTTCATGAAGACAAACTCTTTAAGTCCTGATGGATGTGGGACAGAAATCTATAGTAGGAGTTTCAAAATGTCTGTCAGGATCTGTTCCTTGCAGTGTCAAAAAAGATGCTGGAGGAAGAGGTGGAAGTGAAGTACCAAATTTAATGCTTTTATTCACTCTCAAAGAGTACCTGTGAATTTGTATCCATTAATTTCATAATTTATTGTGCCTTTAAACAGGTTCAGAACATATGCTTGACATACGCACTTAGCACTTCAGGTCCTTATCTGTCTGGGTTGAACATGAAGAAAATAGAGCTGCCACCTCAGGGCCATTTCCAGTCTTGTCCAGGAAGCAGGGACTCATGATAGAGACCCAACAGGAGCCACAGGCAGAGAAGGATTTGGTTTCACATATACCACCAGGGTTAGGCGTGGTGTGTGATCTTTTTCCTTCAATATTAAGACTTCTGAGATAACACTAGCTACCATAAGGTAGTATGACTTAATATGGATGGAGTCCATTTCCATGAAATGTTTCTTACTCCTTTTTCTTCCCCAGTTCATACAATGGAAATATTTGGAATATTTATATATTAAAAATGAGCTAGACCTTTTCAGAGGTGTCCTGTTACATAAGATTAGATATTTATTGCAGATGAACATGATACTGCTAGGTAAGGAAAACATCCCTTTGTCAGCCCCTTAGTGCCTTTGTCTTTGATTGTGACTGAGAATAATTTTCATGCTGAAAAGACTGAACTTTGTAATCTCAGTCAGAGCTGTAGAACTGACCTTTTTGCTGTTGAAATAAAATGAATTCATGAAAAACTTTTTAAAAAATTTTTCTCTTTAACCTACTGTATGTTTTCTGTTTCCTGATTCAGTCTAGCCCACTACATATTCCATACGCAGATGTTCCCTGAATTAGGCAGCTTTTTGTCACTGGGGCAAAATATCCCATAACTACAATTTAAAGGGGGACAGGTTTAATTTGGCTCATGGTTTTGGAGATTCAGTCCCTGGCAGAAATATCATGCCAGATGGATACAGGGGAGCATAGATGCTTAGTTCATGGCAGCCAGGAAGAAGAAGGGAGTGATACCAGAAAGGAAGGGCTGGAGACCAGATATATACCTAAAGTCACAGTTCAATAACCCACACAGAAGCATGTTTTACTAATCCCTTGGGCAGATTCCAAGACAATCAAGTAGAAAAGGTTAAGGTTAATTTTCATATCCCATGCCTTGACAACTTGACACTGAAAAAAATCTCCTTAAATCAATACTTAATGTCCAAATAAAGACAATACCAAGTTCAAAATTCTACCTAATATGATATGACTACATGTGTACAACTAAAAAGGTACTAATTCCTTCCTCAAAGTCTCAACAGTGGTAGTAGTGCTAAAAAGTCCAAGACTACTTGTCCTCTGAGACTCAAGGCAAACTCTTATTTGTGAGCCCCTATTTTAAAAAGTTATGTAATACCAAGATACAATGGCAGAGGGTCAATATTTCCACTCCAAAAGAAGAATGGGGGTGCTAGACATGGTGGTGCATGCCCATAATCCCAACACTCAGGAGGCTGAGCCAGAAGGATCACCATGAGTTTGAGGGCAGCCTGGGCTACATAGTGAGTTCAGGACCAGCCTGAACTACAAAGGGAGACCCTGCCTCACAAAACCAAAAAAAAAAAAAAAAGACTAAAAGAATAAGGGAAAATAGAAAAGATTTGGATGAAAGCAAGATGGAAAACCATAAGGGAAAACATTAAGTCCGGTAGCTGCATGTCTAGAATCTAGGGTACATGGTGGTGAGAATTAAGTCCCAAGGGGCTTGGCAGCCCTAACCCTATGGCCTTGCTGGTTGCAGCCCACATGTTCTCTCCCTCTGGCTGGCTCTGCTCCCTTTATGCAGCCTTCCTTGGCAGACATTCTACATTTCTGGCATCTCTAGCTTCCTGGGGTTTCCATTGCACATTCAGTTTTATTCCCACTGCTTCATAGGGCTCCTTGCCTGACCTTCTAGGCCTTCCATTGAAATCTGAATGGAAGCCTCCTTGACTTCACAACTCTTACATTCTGCATGACAGTAAAACCAACATCACAGGGATTTTGCCAAGATCTGCTGTCAGCAGAAACACTAACCAGCTCCCCTTGGACCATGGCTATAGCAGCCTCTGAATGCCTAGATCACAGTGAAATGAATCTTAGATAGCCAATTCCCTAAGAGGCTCTTCTCAAGCAAGGATCCAAGGGACTTTCTTTCCAACTGAAATGTATATACTTTTGTACCTTTGAGCCTATGATGGGTAGCTTCTTGCCAATTTCTGAGATGCCCCCAAGACATCCTTTTTCTTTTCCCCATACAAAGTGCTTGGTTTTTTTCTAATGATGCTAATCTCTTCAGCAACCACACCTCCTTTTGCCCCAACTTTACATGTGGTTCCTTTTGAGCCAAAGTTAAATTTTTAAAATTGTTTTGCTTTATTTTCTGCTTCTAATCTTTGCTATAAATCTAGCTAAAAGCACCCATCAGTATATATGCCACAGTCTGAACACTGGGCTACCTTAAAATTTCTTCCACTAGATCAACCAGTCTACTGCACATAATCTCAGTGTCCCACAAAATCTCAGAACATGAGCAAAATCTGCACATTATTTTTGCCACAGTGTAACACACACGGCCTTTAGTCCAGTGAAATTCTTCTTCCCAACTGAAATCTCCTGAGCCTGACCTTTCCTGTTCCCATTCCTGCCATCATTCTGATTTTTTTTTACATGCATCAGAACTTTATTTGAAAACTAAAAAGTTTGACATATTTCAAACATCCAAAAATAAGGGACAAGTTTGGTAGATTACTGAGAATTTACTGCTTCTGGTCTTCTGAGCTCCAAACAGAACCACCCATCAGGAGGCAGAATCTAAAGTTCAAGGAAATTCTGAGTGTCCTAGACCACAGAAAGACTGCTATGGGTCCTCCAGGATCTATACCCCATTCATTTCAATACTGTCTGAGTTATATTTCTGATGCTAAAAGTGAATATGACAGATGGAGTGCATTACAAGAAACAGAAATTTATTTGGCTCACAATAAAGAGGTGGGGAGGCCCGAGAGCACAGTGTCAGAATCTGATAGGGCCTCCACCCATGTTGGCTCATAACATGACAAAAATGGGAAGCCAGCACACTTGGGACACAAAGAAAAAGCAAGAGAGGCTGAACTTACTACAAACCCAGTCTTGAGATAACTGACCCCCTTCCATGATGATGGCATTAATTTATTTAAAAGGGCAGAGCTCTCATGACCTAATCACCTCCTGGAGGTCTCACCTGGTACTACTGTTACAATGGCCATTAAATTTCAGCATGAGTTCTTGATGAGCTATTCCAACTCAGCATCCACCTTCACAACCTGCTCCCCTCATACCTCTGAACAGGGACCTCCTCTCTACACCTTCTGGGCTTTCTGCCCTGAGC